TTGTATGTGAAATCAACGATATTGTTCTATAGTTTCCACACTCTGTTGGGTCACCTTTCTTTGGAATGGGAACAAATATAGATCTCTTCCAGTCATCAGGCCTAGTGGTTGTTCTCCAGATTTCTTGATCAGTGTTGAGTATTCTGAGAAAAACTAGATAGATTATGTATACTGCATTGAAACAGATGAGGGACAGAACAGTTTAAAAGCAATATATGATTGGGTATTATGGTCATCATGACAGGAATCCAGAATTAACGGTGCATAGTAGAGTGCATTTGGTGGGGCTAGAGGGTAGGGGGGATTGTATACCAATGAAGGAGTTTATCTTTTCCTTTTCAAAGAGAGGAGTGAACTGGGGTTAGGGGGAGGTAGAGAAAAAAAGTGCAACAATGAATGATTGGAAATCCAAAATCTCTATAAATGTTAGTTAAAATTAGTAAAATAAATTTTTTTTAAAAAAAATTTCCATTCACCTGATTTCTGAGGGGCTAATTCTTTATTCTGTTATGCCTGAATTCCTTTTAAGCATATCCATTCAATTTCTAATTCTAAGCATTCACCTTCTGTTAGAAACAGTTCCTTTGGTGTTATGTACATTTTATTTCCCTGATGAAATGGTTTCTCTTTTCACTGATGTCTCTCCTTTCCTGCTTTTCTCCAAATATATTGATCAGAAGATTCAAACTTGCTAAGTCCAATATCTTTATCATCTGTACTTCTACCTTTTCTCATTTTCTGATTTTTGCTTTGTTTATTTACCACATAGTCCCCTCTTTTTATATACTAGATTATTTTTTACATTAAATTCTGGAAATTTCTATTTCAGCAGAAATACACAACCATGAGAAGATAAAATTGGTGATCAGGACCTTTTAAAAATTATACCCCTGTGTGCATTGCACCTTTTTCCAACTGAGTGAAAAGAAAACCTACTGACTAGGTAGAAAAATTATGTCTGTCTAGAGACTAAGGTGCACCTTATCCAGGCCATGGTCTTTGCAATTACTTGCTATGTATCAGAGAGCTGGACAATGACTAGGGATGATAGAAGAATTTATACCTTTGAGTTGTGGTGATGGAGAAGAATATTGAACATACTATGGACTGATAAGAGAAAAATGAGGTCTGCTCTGGAGAAGGTGAAACAGGTCTGCTCCTTGGAAACAAGGATTTTTGAAGATCCATTTAATATACTTTGGCATGTTGCAAGGAGAGTCCAGTCTTTGGAGATATGCATCATGCTTAGAAAGGTGGAGGTACATTACAAGAGAGGAAGACCCTGGACAAGATAGATTGATTCAGTGACTGGGGTAATGGAGGTAGGTATGTCAGAGACAAAGAAATTGGACCAAAATAGACCAAGGTTCAGAGCTTTTGTACACAGGGTGGCTGCAAGTCAGAGATAACTCAACAGCACATAACAACAATGTCATCTTAGACAAGGGTCTCGTAACAAGTTTACAGAATTTAAAGGGTCTCCAGAGGAAAAGGACTGATAATCCAATTACAAAATGGGCAAAAGACGTGGAAAGATTTTTCATAGAGGAAAACATTCAAATGGCCAACAGTTACATGAAGAAATTCTCAAAATCTCTGGCAATAAGAGAGATGCACATCAAAACCACAATGAAATACCATCTCACCCCAGTAGCAGTGGCAAAATTTAACAGGACAGCAACCAATAAATGTTAGAGAGGTTGAGGAGAGAGAGAGGAGCTCTCGTATGCTGTTGGTGGCATTGGGAAATGGTACATCTGCTCTGGAAGGCAGCTTGACAGGTCCTCAAAAAGCTAAACATAGAAAGCCCATATGATCCAGCTATTTCACTGCTAGGAATATACCCCAAGGAAGATAGAACTGAGACACAAATTGAGATTTGTGTACTAATGTTCATAGAATTTATAATGTTCTTTATAATCACAAGAACATGAAACAGCTCAAATGTCCAATCACAATTGAATAGATTGAGAAATCGTAGTACATTCCCACAATGGAATACTATGCAGCACTCAGAAGCAACAATTTTGAAAATTACTTCATTACTTGGGAGAAAGTGGAAAGCATCATGCTGAGTGAACTAACTCAGTCTCATATGGATAAATACTACATAAGACCATTATTGTAAAAACAGACGTATAACTAGTAAAACATGAAAGGGAATCCAAGAGAGGAAGAGGTGGGAGCAAAAGGTTATGGATGGGGAGAAGTTATAGAATTGTACAATTTGGTAGGCGAAGGGAGGGGGATAAAGGAAATGGAAAAGATTTAGGGGGATATGGGAATATAGAGTAATGGTAGGCATAGTTCAGTGGTGTTTAATTTTATAAAATATATTGAATGGGAATTATATGAAACACAATGTGATGAAGGATAGTGAAAAACACAATGTATATGAACTTTGAATGCAAACTAATATAAAATAAAATTTTTACACGTGAATGTAAAAGAAAATAATTAAAGCTCTGAGAACTATATCAGTTCTAAGTCTAGTATATTTCAGCTATGCAGCTATTGGAGAAATGGGGATGAATCACTTAAGCCTCACAAATCCTGGGCCACATTTTTCTTTTTTGAGCTATACTCTCTGTGCTTCTTCTAAGTGTGAAGCTCTAGTTGATTTTTAAAGTACATGAAAGATGAAGAGGAGTAAGGATCGCTTTGCCTAAGCAAATCATGATCCAAGACCACTGATTTGAAAAGAATATGATGCTTTTGACATCCCAATAAAATAGAACCAGCTATTCTTCTTCTGTTTCACTCCCATGTGGCAGCACAAGCATTTATCCAGTTACTCTAGTAAATGATTCTACAAGTCCAGAAATTGACAACACTCTTCCTCTCTTCACTTAGAGGAATCGTAAAACCAAAATTAATTATAACTGTTCAAAGAGGTATTTTAAACAATGTTAATATTTCAACAAGGGAAATAAGTGGAACAATGAAATTTGAATATTTTTTTAAAAATCTGGAAATTGTATATTAAAAATACCTTAGAATTCAACTTTCTTTATGCTAGGGAAGGAGAAACTAATGAAATAAATATATAAATACAACCTAGAACTCATCTGGAAATCTTGAAGGAGTTTTCATGTCATATTCCAGTGCTTTCAGATGAGAATTATATGTCCTTGGTGGCACAGCTATAAGAGAATAAAAAAAAAGTCCACTCTCCTAAGATATTTCATTTAGTTCTGTAGTCTCCTTCCTTCATCATTTAATATTGGGTATATCTGAGGAGAAAAATATGTTGATAACAGTTTCATTTCTCGGTTTCATCACTCCAATGACCTATAATGACCAAAGTTTTAATGCTTTCTACTTTTTGACAACAGACTTCAGTCATTTCTATACCCAGATTCTCAGCCTTTGGTGTTTACACTGAAGTCATACATTTCATTTAAGAAAAGAAACATAGATCTTAAACCAAACACTGGAAGAGATAGATAGATGATAGATAGATAGATAGATAGATAGATAGATAGATAGATGATAGATATTTTAAATTTTAGCACACTTAATCTATACTACTTTTGCAAAATGTCTTTAAATATTTTTATATTAATCCATTTTCTTAGTTTTATCCAGCAGAAGCATCAGATAATTATGATTTCCTCCATTATTTGTAGAAGTAAATTCTAGGCTTCGATCAATGTTATTTTGAGTTATTTAACCTCTCTTTTCAACACCCCATTTATATGTTAAAAGGAAAGAATAATAATGCAGTGGAGACAAATTGTTGGGGGAGTGAATAGAACCAAATTCAACTTCTGGTGGTCTTACTAATACATATTGTTTTTCCCAGAATACATAGAACTCCAGTAACTTATAAATAGTAAAAATTCCTCCTATGAAGTCCAAATAAAGATCTGAATTGTTTAGGGAAAGGAGCAATTTCCAAATTATCCCCAAGAGAATCCAGAAAATGTTGCATGACATCTGGTCAATGATGTCATCTCTCATCTTCTCTCATGAAAGATTAAACAATCTACAAAAAGTTCTTTAAAATTAAGTAGCCAAATATGAAATATATTGCTTAGACTCATAAGTGAAGTACTCTCACCAAATTCTAGTCAACCTAATGGTCCACTAACTTTTCATCTCTGAAGATGGCACACAGGAAGGAAATCTGGTTTGTTGTAGATTTATAGCTGCTAACTAAGACTTCTGATGAGTAGTCCCAGATCTTGAGTCCTTTTCCTTCACTCTGTTATGTCAATGAGTCTAGCTTCTGAGTCAGTCGTACACTATTTGAAGCTCATAAAAAATTGGTCTAGTTGTTGGTCCATGATTGCAACTCTGACTAAACTTCTTGAGCTAAGAAATCAATAACCTCTTGTGTAGAGATTATGACATTTCCAGTATGTCCTTCTCAGATCCTTGCCTAGAATTCAACAAAATAGAAGGTTAACACAGAAAAGACCTTCATAACAGTTTCTATTCAATAAGTTTAATTTTATTTTCTGTTCTCCAAACTTATTGACATCTGGCCATGTCATTCCTGTAAAAACCCCGATGCACTGCTAACCAGGTCAAAGACTTCATGAATGATTTAACAGATGACACACCATCAAATGACAGTCCAATATAAAATATAGCCTGTCTCATATCTGTATAATTATTAAATAAATCTTTATTAACATGGCTCTCTTTCTCTCTTCAGAGGACATACAGCTTCGCCTGGTGAATGGAGGTAGTCGCTGTGCTGGAAGAGTGGAGATCCTTTACCAGGGTTCCTGGGGTACTGTCTGTGATTATAATTGGGATATAAATGAAGGCCATGTGGTGTGCAAACAGCTGAACTGTGGACACGCCCTCGATGTTACGCATAATGCTTTCTTTGGTAAAGGATCAGGGCCTATCCGGCTGTTCAACCTGGAATGCACAGGAAAGGAGTCCCATCTGTGGAAATGCTCATCCTGGGGTTGGCAAGACCGAGGCTACTGCAGTCATCTTTCAGATGCAGGCGTCAAATGCTCAGGTATGAACAGTGCATTGCCCACACTGTTAGGGAAAATGGAAGATGCCAGAGAAACAGGTGTCTTAACTTTTGAGGATTAGGTAATGGATGGGCCAGAAAGGTCTTGAATCACACATATGGTGGTTCTAAGCAGTTTTAAATTACAGACTACATTTAAAAATTTTTAAATTTCCAAGTATTAAAATTGTAAATAATTGTCAAGATTGTAAACCCTTATAAACCTAAAGGAGGCTCGCTATGAATCAGTTTTGACTCTATAGCAATGAATTTAGCTTCTGGCTTTGATGTGCATAGAGTGAGGCATTGTTGTGAAATCAGCTAAAGGTTGTTGTTGTTGTGTGTTGTCGAGTCAGAACTAACCTATAGATTACCCTTCGTCAGGTATTCAGAGACAGTAAATTGCATGGGAGAATATCACTCATCTTTCTCCCCTGGGACAGCAGGTGGATTCAAATTGCCTCCCTTTGTGGAAACGCAATTCCTTACCACTAAGTTACCAGAGCTCCCTGAAGTAGAGTTTGGTGGTGGTGGCATATGTGCCACTGACAAACTAATACCTGACCCTCTAGAGGGTTTTCAGGGGCAGTAAATTATATGGGAGATTTACTGAGGAGATTATCCATCTTTGACCCTTGGAGCATCTGATGGAAACGAACAGCATGCCTTAATAGATTGCAGCACAGCTACTTACCACTCAGCCAGTTTAAGAAATCAGAAAGGAAAACAAACAAACAAACAAAAATTTTAAAAAAATCAGAAAGGAATTTGTTAAAGAATATAAGTTAAATTATGAAACCTTTGAGGTGCCAGGACTGAAGAGCTATAACTAAAATGGTCACTAGGTTCTCCTTCTTCAACTGTTACTAGGAAAGATAGTTTTTTTCTTTTAAAATATCCATATGAGCACAAATGTAGGAGAGACACTCACCTAGACACTTATAAGTCAGGGATAAATGCATAAATATTAATGAATATGTGTTGCAGTAAAATATCATAGAGTCTATACTTGATGACTCCAATGATTTAAGAGAAGCTAATTTTTTTTATTAATTTCAATGAACATTTACAGAGATTTTGGATTTCCATTCATTCATTGTTGCACTTTTCTCCCTGCCCAGCCCTTCCCCCCAGTTTGCTCCTCTCTTTGAAAAGCAAAAGAAAAAACTCCTTCATTGATATATAATCCCCCCGCACCCCACACCCCCACCCTGAGTATACTCCACTCTGCAACCCTCGTTCCAGACTCTTATGATAATCATAATGCCCTAAAATATATTACTTTTAAACTGTTCTCTCCCTCATTGACTTCAATGCAGTATACGTAATTTATCCAGTTTTAAGAGAAGCTAATTTAAGAAGAGGTGATTAGAATGGGAGTAAAGTGACCGATAGAATGGTCAAAGAAGGTGGTTGTTATTGTTAGATACCCTTGAGTTAAGTACAACTCATAGTGATCCTATGAGCAACAGATCTAGACCCAGTCCTACTCCTACTTTACCATTCCAGACACACTTGAGCCAATTGCCACAGTCACTGTATCAGTTCATCTCATTGAGGGTCTTCCTCTCTTTCACAGACCCTCCTCCTTTCCAACATGATATCTCTTTCTGAGGAAAATACCCGCCTAACAACATACCCAAAGTATGTAAGATGAAGCTTCATCATCCTTGCCTTTAAGGGGCAGTCTGGCTGCACTTTTTCCAAGACATATCTGTGTTTGGTATTTTTGGCAGTCCATGATATATTCTGTACTCTTCTCCAAAATCACAACTCAAAAGGTATCAATTTTTCTCCTGTCATATTTAGACATTGTCCACCTCTCAGACGCATAGCAGATGACCGAAAAGACCATGCCTTGAATCAGTTGCACCTTAGACTTTAAAAAAGTGTTGTTGCTCTTTAGAGCTTTTGCGAGATCCCTGACAGTAGACTTTCCCAATGCCATATATTTTCTAATCTCCTGACTAGTGGTACCAAAATACTGATTGTAGATCCAACTAAGTTTAAGTCAATGACAGTTCCAGTGTTTTCTCCATCTATCTTGATGTTGCTTATCAGTCCAGTGGTGAGGATTTTTGTTTTCTTGATGATGCAGTGTAAGCCATATTCAATGGTGTAATCTGTGCTCTTCTGAAGCAAGTGTTACAATTCCTCCTTACTTTCAGTAAGGTTGCATCTTCTGTATAGTGCAAGTTGTTGATTGTTGATGAGTCTTCTTCTAATCCTGATGCTTCATTCTTCTTCATAAATTCCAGCCCTTTGAATTATTTGCTCAGCATACAAATGGACTAAATATGAGAAAGGATAAAGCCCTAACACACACCTTTCTTGATTTTAAAACATGAAGTGTTCCCATGCTTTTTTCATATAATAGCTTTTTGGTCTAACTGTATATTTATTTTTTAAAATAATAAAATTTTTGTTTTATACTGATTAACTTTCAAAGTTCCTATTCTTATAAGCATGATTATTTTGAAATCCCCATTCTTATCAATATTAGCCATAGTTTATTATGATCCACATATTCAAATGCATTTATGTAATCAGTAAAACAAAAACAAACATTCTGAAATTATCTTCTTTCAGCTAAGATACTTCTGGCGTTATAACTGCAGTCCTTGATGCCACACAGCCTTTTCTAAACTCACCTTGAACTTCTGGCAATTCTCTGTCAATGTACTGTTCTAGACATTTTTGGATGATCTTCATTGATATTTTTCTTGCGTGTAATATTAATGATAGTGCTGAATAAGTTCCATACACTGTTGGATCACTTTTCTTGAGAATGAGAACAAATAAAAATTTCTACCAGTCAGTTGGCCAAGTGGTTGTTCTCCAGATTTCTTGGCACAACTTGGTGAGCACATCCACATCTGTCTCTGTTAGTTAAAATATATCAATTAATATCTGTGGTGCTGGGGAAGAGTATTGAGAGTACCATGGACTGCTAGGAAAACAAACAGATTTGTCCTGGAAAGGGTTGAACCGGGTGGCTCCTTGGAGGCAAGGATTCTGAGGCTCCGTCTGACATACTTTGGACATGTTGTGAGGAGGGACAGGTTCTTGGAGAGGGACATCATGCTTGGGAGGGTGGAGGGACAGCGCAGGAGGGGAAGGCCCTCTATGAGGTGGATTGATTCAGTGACTGGGATAATCAGGATTAGAAGTGTTAGAGACATTGCAATTGGCACAGGACAGAGCGGAGTTTAGGGCTGTTGTGCATAGGGTCGCTATGAGTCGCAAGCGACTCGATGGCACATAACAACAACAACAACAATATCCCATCAATTTCTAGGACCTTATTTTTTTGCCAATGCCTTCAATGAAGCTTGAGTTTCTTCTCACATCACCTCTGGTTTTTTATCATATACTACTTCCTAAAATAGTTCAGTGTCAACCAAATATTTTTGGTACAGTGACTCTATGTATTTCTTCTTTTATAGATGCTTCCTGGATCATTCAAAACTTTCCCTGTAACAGCTCTCAATATTGCAACTCAAGGTTTTCATTTGTTTTTCAGTTCTTTTAACTTGAGAAAACAGAACTGATGCTTTTTCTTTTCCAACACCAGCTCTTTGCATATTTCATTATAATACGTGTTTTGTCTTCTCAAATTGCCCTTTGAAATCTTCTGTTCATCTCTTTGACTTTGGCATCTCTTCCCTTTGTTTTGCCTTCTCAACAGTCCAGTGTAATTTTCAGTCTTTTCTGACATCATTTTCATTTTTTTCTTTCTCTCCTCTCTTTGTAACTATCTTTTGCTCTCTACTTGGATGGTATCTTTTATTTCATCCCACAGCTCATCTGGTCTTTGAACATTAGGGTTTAATGCCTCTAACCTACACTTGAGATGCTTTTTAATTTCAGATATGATAGGCCAAATTTGTATTTTGGTTCTTGTGGACTTGTTTTCATTTTCTTCAATTTCTATTTGAACTTACACAAGTAATTGATGGTGTGTTACACAGTCAGAACCTGAGTTGATTTCGACTGCTGATATTGAGCTTCTTCCATGATTCTTTCAACAGACACAGTCAATCTAATTCTTGTCAGTCCATCAGGTGATGTTCATGTGAATAATCACCATTTGTGTTCCTTTAAAAAGATATTTGCAATGAATTAACTATTGAATATAAAAAACTCAGTCAGTTGGTCAGCCTCATTCCTGTTCCCAAGTCCATAATTTCCAACTGCCATTCCTTCTACTTTATTTCAGATGTTTGCAGTCACAGTCCAGTCACCAACTGTTATCAGTGCATCTTGACTGTATATTTTGTCAATTTCAGAAAGCGAAAGTTGGTAGTATTCCTCAATTTCTTCCTCTTTGACTATAGCTTTTGGTGCATATATTTGAGTAACAATTGTATTAACAGATCTTCCTTGTATCTGTATGAACATTGTCATGATTATATGCCGTCATGTCTCCTGCAGCTCATAGCAACCCTACGTACAACAGCCCTTAACCCTGCTCTACCTTTAGCCAACCTTATTGTCTCTGACACAACTACCTCCAATGCCCTAGTCACTGAGTCAATCAATCTCATTCACGATCTTCCTCTTTTGCGCTGTTCCTCTACACTCCCAAGCATGTTGTCTCTTTCAAAGGACTGGTCCTTCCTTGAGACATACCAAAAGTATGTCAGACAGAGCTTCAGAATCCTTGCCTCCGAGGAGCAGCCAAGTCTCACATTCTCCATATTTATTCTAGCAGTCCATGGTACATTCAACACTCTTTTCCAGCATCACAGTTCAAAGGCATCAACTCTCATTCTATCATCCCTAGTAATTGTCCAGTTTTCTGTTGCAAAGCAAGTAATTATGAAGATTATGCCCCAGATCAGGCACATCTTATTCTCCAGACTGACATCATTGCTCAGTATTCTGGAGAGGTCCCTGATAGCAGACTTTCCCAATGCAATTTGTCTCTTGATTTCCTGGCTGCTGGTATCAAGAGTGTTGATTGTGTAGGCAAGCAAACTAAATCTGCTAACAATCTCAAT